CGGCTTGTGATTTTCCTGTAGAGTTTTCTTAACACGTATGCATTGCTCTAATTTACTCTGTGCTTCAGGACACAGGTCTCTTACTGTAGATAGCTTTGGAAGATAATGAATTATTGAAGGAGCTCACTTTAATTTCCTTTTATTGTAACTGCAAGGAGCATTGATGAAAATAAGGCAGCTTGCATTGAGTCATCTTAATTATATCAAAATTTGACTTTAACATGATGAAGTTGGGAAAAAAATTAATATGTGAGGATCTTCAAATTGTTTGTGTGGAGGGCCAAAAATGGCAGGTACAGCTGCCCTCTGTGATGCTGGCATCCCTTATGGGCACCAGTTCGAGTCCCTTGAGCCCATGCATCTACATGGGAGACCCGGAATAAGTTCCTGGCTCCTGGTTTTGGCCTGGCCAAGCCCTGGCCATTCTGGACATCTGGGGAGTGAACCAGTGGATGGAAGAACTCCCCCCTGCCCCTTTCTAACTCTGCCTCTCAAATAAATCTTAAAAAAAAGTTTGGACTTTAAGATTTTTTTTTGTTGTACTGAAATAAACTTTGCTTTCCATTTTCCATGACCCTTTTTAAATAATAAAAATCATCTTAGAAACATTCAAATGTCTGTAAAACAGCTGCAACTTTTTTTGTTTTGTAATTACAGAATAGGGTTTAGTTAACAGAATGATTATTTTGTATACACTGCATGAGACAACTGAAGATAAAGAGTCCTGTCCCTATACGTAGCTAATTTGTGCTGTTAACCAGCAAGAACCTGCTTTAAATTTCCATGCCAGGTTTCAACCCCCATACTGTACCAGGCAGGGTTAGTGGCTATGGAATATACCACCAGGACAGGGCTATCTAAAGACACATTTGGCAGGGTGTTAACTATACAGAAAAACACTGTGTATGGTTTAAAAACAAACCTTACCCAGCCTTACATTAAAACACTTTTTAAACAGTTTTTAACCTGTGTTTGAAAGGCACAGTTACAGAGAAAGAGGGAGAGGCTGACACCCTCCATCTGCTGGTGCACCCTCCAAATGGCTGGGCCAGGTTGAAGCTGAGAGCCAGGAACTCCATCAGGGTTGCCCACATGGGTGCAGGGGCCCAAGCACTTGGGTCATCTTCCACTGCCTTTCCAGGCACAGTAGCAGGGAGCTGGATGGGAAGAGGAGCAGCCAGGTTTGGAGCTGGCAAGTCCCATGTGAGATTCTGGCTGCATTGCAGGCAGAGGCATCACCCGCAGCACTGTAGTGCCAGCCCTACATTTTTTTTTTTTTTTTTTGACAGGCAGAGTTAGAGAGACAAAGAGAAAGGTCTTCCTTCCGTTGGCTCACCCCCCAAATGGCCGCCATGACCGGCACTGTGCTGATCCGAAGCCAGGAGCCAGGTGCTTCCTCCTGGTCTCCCATGCGGGTACAGGAGCCCAAAGACCTGGGCCATCCTCCACTGCACTCCCAGGCCACAGCAGAGAGCTGGACTGGAAGAGGAACTACAGGGACAGAATCCGGCCCCCCAACCGGGACTAGAACCTGGCGTGCTGGTGCCGCAGGCGGAGGATTAGCCTAGTGAGCCGTGGCGCCGGCCAGCCCTTACATTTAAATAATTAATTATATATAATATATATATAATTATATATAATAATTAATAATTAAAAGTTGTCAAGGAGTCACTGTATACAGGAGGATTAAATACTTCATAGACAAGAAAATAAAGTGGTAGACCCAATGTATTCATAACGATCACCTTCGTCTTCGTCCTTTTCATCTTGCTCTTCCTCTGGTTTTCAGCCTTGCCATCTCCCTTGCTTACTGCCTCGGGCTTTCCTTCAGCTCGGTATGTGGGAAGCTGCATTTGCATTTTTCCTTCCGCTCAGCAGCTTGCTCGTCCAGAGGTTGCTTGGTGGCGGTGGCAGTGTCATTGCTGCACTGGCTCCCGGGTTCTCTGCCCCCTGGCCGTGGGTGGGCCGTGGGATGTTCCCCTTTGGTTTTTGGGTGATACTAAGAGCAAACCAAGAAGAAGACCAGAGGAGGGCTCTTGGATGCATTGGGGTCCTTGAACTTCTGTTTCTGTGCTGTGGCACAGAGGTTTTTGTTAGCTTACAAGGAGCCTTGGCCGCTGAGCCTGTCTCTCTGTGGCCGTCCTGGTCTTGCTAGAGAACTGAGATGTGATGGGGGCGTCTGGTGCTGCTTCTTGCGCTCCTCCTGGGAAGTCTGCACAAGGGACACATCTGATGAGGTTTACCCCTTGTCTTCTTGGGTCTCCTCTGTTCACAGTGCTTTGTCCTCAGCAAGGCGCAGAGTCGCCCAGCGCCCCCCGGCTCTCAGTTGCCTGGCACCGGCTCGTGTGGCTCAGTGTACTGCAGTGTTGCCTCTGTTACCTTCGTGAAGTAGCCCTGTACATATCCAAAGCACTGACTTATTAAATTAATTCACATATCTTCTTCAGGTTAACAATATTTCATTGCAAAATACAATGGTCTAGTTATCTGTTCTCTATGAAAAACGACCAGAACTTAGTAACTTAAAGAAACAATTAAAAAAATCTGTTTCTGTAGGTGAGGATTTTAGGCATTTCTGGCTGGGGTTTCTTGAGATGTTTTCTGATGGGGGCTGAGCTCTGGTGTGGCTGGGGGGGGCAGCTCCCTCTGTAACATCAAGGCCTCTCTATGCAAGGCAGTTAGGGCTTCCTCACCGCAAGGCAGACTCAGGAAGCCCCAGATACTCACTCTGTGGCTCAAGGCTCCAGTGCAAATCTTCCAGCCCAAATGGTGGGAGTTGTGTAGCCCAAGAAGCCCCACAGATCCCTTAGGCTACATTCTGTTGGTGACCAGTGAGCCACACAGCTCCAAGGGAAGGGAATTAAAATCTACCTGCTGATGAGACAGTGGCCGGGTTGCACCGCAGAGCCCTGTGGGCTAGGGACTCTAAACCCAAGTCAATACTTGTCTGTGTGTTGTCTGCGGAGGGGGCTGCCTCTCCTGCTGCCTCAGGAACCCCAGGCGCACCAATCCAGTTCTTACTGGGCTTTTGTAAGAACAGTCCCAGGCTGCACATTATTGCCAAGTAACAGTCAAAGGAAGAAATGAGGTCAACTTTGTTTCCCACCCCTTAGAAACCTGACGGAAACCAGGAGAAAGCGGAAGGAATTTTTCTCCCTGAGAACAAGTGCTGGTGCCACCTGGTGGTGAGACAGTCAAACGAGGACTCCACGCTGTGGACTGCAAGTTCTGAATTGTCCTCACAGAGTGGACGAGGGTACTTCAGAGTTCACAGATGATGGAACTGACACACAACCTTGGCCTGATAGTTAAGCTGCCAGTTACGAAGCCTGTGGCCCCACGGGGGTGCCTGGCTTCCATAGCCGGCTCCAGCTTCTTGCCAGTGCAGGTTCTGGGCGGCAGCAGTGATGGCTCAGGGACTTGGGTTTCTGCCACCCACGTGGAGAATGAGTTCCCTGCTTGAGACTCCTGGGCTTTTTTTTTTTTTTTTAATTAGCTTATTTATTTGAGAAGTAGAGTCACAGAGAGAGAGACAGAAAGGTCTTCCATCCTCTGGTTCACTCCCCAAATGGCAGCAATAGCCAGAACTGGGCCAATCCAAAGCCAGGAGCCAGGAGCTTCTTCCAGGTCTCCCACACAGGTGCAGGGGCCCAAGCACTTGGGAATCTTCCACTGCTTTCCCAGGCCACAGCAGAGAGCTGGATGGGAAGTGGAGCAGCCAGGACACAACTGGTGCCCATGTGGGATGCCGGCACTGCAGGCAGAGCCTTCGCTCAGTACGCTGCAGTGCTGGCCCCAGACTTCTGACTGACCTCCCTGGCCGTTGTGGCCTGTGGACTCATCCTGCGAGGCCCACACTGTCAGGATGGTGGGGTGATGGCGTTCTTCAGCAAGAAGCACCGGAGACAAGTTTTGGTGAACACGTCCATTTATTAACATTCAGGCACAAGGTGGGCTTATCTGAAGCCAGGAGGCAGGAGCTTCTTTTGGGTCTCCCACACAGGTGCAGGGGCCCAAGGACTTGGGCCATCTTCTACTGCTTTCCCAGGCCATAGCAGAGAGCTGGATGGGAAGTGGAGCAGCCAGGATGTCAGCACTATGGGGGGTGGGTTTACCCACTGTGCCAGTAACGCTGTCCCTATCTCCCTTATTCTAAGCCTTTCTCTGGCTTTATGCTGATGCTCAGGGTCTCAGCACTGTGTGGGTGCTTTAGGGAGGTTAGCATAGAGGCAGCACAGGGGCCATCTCTTTCCTCCTCATCATAAAGGTCATGAGCAACAAAACACAGGGTAACAAGAGCAAAGCCGATGATGCCTTTCTTCATGGTTTTATGTGACCTGGAGGCTTTGGAATGAAGACCCAGTCACAGGGGATGTTTCTTTTATGCTTGGATTCAATAAAGCACGTACAGCCATGTAGAAATGTGATTGGACAAACAGGGTACAACCTAAGGTAAGAGAAGGCAGTGGGGAAACCTAGCAGCCTGTAGCCAGTAGCCTGTTGTCACTGAGTCTGAAGATCTGTTATCGGACATGGGCAGATCAGAGGATTTCATTATGGCTCCAAGACAAACTCATGGGAAGGATGGAATGCTATTTCTAGTTGTCACGGCTGGCTTTGGGAGAGGGGAGGTGTGGTTTGTACGGCTCACTTCCAGGTGTGGACTGAGCAGAGAGAGGCCCTGCAAGGTCCTTTCAAGTAGGTAGCAGGTCAAAGTGCATGGTATTTCTGGAGCCTCAATATTAGAACCACCCACCTCCCCCCAAAACCACCTGCCCTGAGTGGACAGGTACGGTTGAAGTTTCCAGATATACTTGCATCAAATAAAACTACAGGAAGCTCGGTGACAAAGTATGTCCCTGATAGTAAAATATGCACTGTTTACGTGAAATTCAAGTTTAACTGGGCATCCTGTGTTCTCTCTGGCCACGGTAGGCCGATTACCTAGGGTGAGGCAAGAGATTCCAGGATTTGCAGCCTCCCGTCCAGGCCTCTGCTGGACCTGGGGTCGAGTTATGAATTACCTGCGACGCTCGCCAGAGGCGTCCGCCCGACTCCAAGATGGCGCCCCTGGCGTTTGCCAGGAGCCAAGATGGCGACCCGGGGGCGCGCCCGCGCTCCCGAGCCTCCTCCCCCGGCTTGGGAACGCGACTCGCGTCGCCGAGAGCCGGTTGCCCTTCAGCCTGGGTGGTGGTCCCGGCCGCTGCCCGCCCCACGCCATGAGGTTCTTCGGCTGGTGGCAGGCACTGCTGTGGGTGCTGGGGCTTCCCGCCCGCGGCCTGGAGGGTGAGTGCGGGCCGGGGAGGCAGTGTGTGCAGACAGAACGAGAGGGAGGTCCGGCCCGCGGGGGCCCCCTCTCCCCCCCCCCAGGGGCCTCCCGGCGGTTTCCGGGGGGGTCCTTTTCCCCGGGCCGGGGTGACCAAAAACGCGGCCTCCCCCGCTCTTAGACCCGGCCTGGGGAAAAAAGATTCGGGGGTTCTCCCGGCCCGACCGGGGAGCCCCGGCGTCCGCCGCCCACCGAGGCCGACTCTCCCGCGGCGAGCGCTCCGCCTCGCAGCGCCGCCGAGGCCCCCGCGCTGGGCAGCTCTCCCGCGGAGGCCGGTCGTGCGGGCGCCTGTGGTGGCCTGCCGCTCGAGCGTTTCCGGGGGGTCCTGGAGCGGGCAGGACCCCGGCAGGTGCCGAGGCGCCGAGGGTGAGGCACAGCGGTGCGGTTCCCGCTTGCACTACCTCGTTATAATGGAGTTCGTGTTGTTATTTTCCCATTTTGTGGACGAATGAGCTCAGACTCAGGGCCAGCAAGTCCTTTGCCGGGATCGCAGGGCTGGGAGCTGAGGAGCCGCGATTCCAGGCCAGGACTTGCCTGACCGCCAGCCCGAGAGACCGCGGCACCTGCGTGACCCCTAGTCACGGCTGCAGCTTTGGACTCTGGCTGGCGTCCCTGTATGGAATAACGGCCGGCTCTCCTGCCCTCTGGCTTCCTTTGGGTCCGAGTGGGTGGCGATGGTCTCAGAGGTCACCGCAGGCTGGCTCTGACCCCCGCTGAAAGCTGCCTTGCTGTTCTGAGGTTCCGTGGCTGCTTCTGCCTCTGGGCTCTTATGGCCTGTGAGTGGTGAGCAGTCCCCGGTGCTGTTCCTGGCCTTGGAGTGCCTTGCCATTACCTTCACTGTCTCTGGGCCTGGCCCACATAATGGTGGTCTGTGTACTAAAACTGCCTCACATCGCCCAGATAAATGCGCTGTTTGCTGGCCGAGCCCCTGCTGATTCAGGGGCCAATGGGAGCCCACCTGGGCAGTGAGCGTCACATTCGGGTCCACCGTGAGGATGGCCCAAGCCACCTGATGGGTCATCGGTTATCTTGGCCAGGCCAGCAGGTTCCTCCTTTTTTTTCCTGCAGAGGGCGCCACGGGCACTGCAGCAGCTGGAGGTGGCGGTGCTGACCAGGGATTGAGTACAGGTGGAGTGGACTCGCTTCGGACCGTTGCCCAGGTCTCTCCTGGCGGTCAGCTCTTACTGCGCACCTGTGCGCTGGCCCTGGGAGGGCGGTGGCGGGCCAGGCCGTGCAGCCGGGCGAACGCAGGCAATGAGTCCTGATCAACTGGGTAAATTGCAGGAATGGAAAATCTGTGTGGGAGAGTCCCAGGGCTCGTTGGCTGTCATGGGGGATCTCCCACCCTGGTCTGGGGGTCTGGGACCATGCCCTTGCAGAGGTGAAGTTTGGGTTGAGACCTGAAGGGTGAGTGGGTTTTCCAGGAGAGGGAGAGGGGAGGCTGTCCCCGCACAGAAGCAGCCGCACTCTGTTAGGAGACTGACTGGGGACAGTTAGGTGACTTCCGCCATTGTCCAGGGGAGATATAGCAGTGGCCAGGTTGCGGAGTGCTAGGGGATGCGGGAAGTAGATGGACTCTGAATATGATTTTTATTTATTTTAGAATTAAAAAATATTTATTTTATGTGAAAGGCAGAGTTAGCGAGATCTTCCATCTGCTGGTTTGTTCCCCAAATGGCCTCAATGACTAGAGCTGGGCCAGGCTGAAGTCAGGATCCAGGGGCTTCTTCCGGGTCTCCCACATGGGTACGGGGGCCCAAGCACTTGAATGTGACTTTTGTTTGTAAAGATTTATTTATTATTTGAAAGTCAGAGTCAGAGAAGGAGAGGCAGAGACAGAGAGACAGAGAGAGAGAGAGAGAGAAAAAGAGATCGTCCTTCTGCTGTTCACTCCCCAGATGGCCACAATGAGCTGGGCTGGGTCAGGGTGAAGCCAGGACCAGGAGCTTCAACCAAATCTCCCACACGGGTGCAGGGGCCCAAGCACTTGGGCCATCTTCTGCTGCTTTCCCAGGCCATGGCAGGGAGCTGGATTGGAAGTAGAGCAGCTGGGACTCGAACTGGCCCCCAGGTACTGCAGGCAGTGGCTTTACCTGCTGTGCCACAGCACCAGCCCCTGAAGATTTTTTTTAAATTTTTTATTTCTTTATTTTTTATTTTTTGACAGGCAGAGTTAGAACGAGAGAGACAGAGAGAAAGGTCTTCCTTTTCCATTGGTTCACCCCCCAAATGGCTGCCATGGCTGTTGTGCTGCGGCTGGTGCACTGCACCGATCTGAAGCCAGGAGCCAGCTGCCTCTTCCTGGTCTCCCACGCGGGTGCAGGGCCCAAGCACTTGGGCCATCCTCCACTGCCTTCCCGGGCCACAGCAGAGAGCTGGCCTGGAAGAGGGGCAACAGGGACAGAATCTGGCGCCCCGACCAGGACTAGAACCCGGTGTGCCGGCACCACAGGCGGAGGATTAGCCAAGTGAGCCGTGACGCTGGCCCTGAAGATGATTTTTAAAGGAGATCTATTTATTTGAGAGAAAGAGAGAGAAACAGGGAAAGATCTTCTATCTGCTGGTTCACTTCCAGATGCTTCCACAGCTGGGGCTGGACCAGTCCCAAGCTGGGAGCCAGGGATGCAACACGCGTCTCCCATGTGGGTGGCAGGGACGCCGCCACTTGAGCCCGGGGAGCCCAGCAGCAGGAAGGTGCAGTAGGGAGTGATGTGGATTTCGGGTGTCCCAAGCAGCGTTTTAACTCCTGGCTAATGTCTGCCCTCCCACTTGTGCATCACCGGCTACTAGGACTCAGCTGTGGTGCTTTTCCATCTCTTTGGAGTCTGAGCGCGGGTCATTGGCATCTGACTGCGGCTGTTGGTGCCGGGGACCAGCCACATCTGTGCTCAGGCGATCCGCACGGTAGCCCTGCGTTAGGGGTACGGGCTCCGTTTGCTAGATGAGTGCGCTGAGGATTGCCTGTGCTGCCCGTCCAGCCTCTGGCTGTTTTTGGTTCTTCCCCTGCTGTCTGCCACAGCAGACCCTGTGCAAAACCCGGCCGCTGGTCGGAAGCCTGCTGAGAAAAGCGGGAAGGGTGTGGAGACACCGATCTAGGCGTGCGCTGCCTGGCCTGGTGCTGCCACTCTTGTTCCCCACAGTTTTGCTGCTGCCAGGGGTGCAGTCGTTTTCACCTTCTGCATGGCTCAGGCTGCCATCAACTTGTCAGTTAAGAAGTGTTCTCTTGGGGCCAGTGCTGTGGCGCAGCGGGTGAGACTGCCCGTTGCAGTGCCGGCATCTCACACGTGTCAGAGTGCTGGTTTGAGTCCTGGCTACTCTGTGCTTCTGGCTCAAGTACGTGGGCCTCTTCCACCCATGTGGGAGACCTAGGCAGAGTCCCTGGCTCCTGGCTCCTGGCTTCCGCCTGGCCTGGCCCTGGCAGCTGTGGCCATTTGGGCAGAGTGCCAGCAGATGGAAGCGCTCTCTGTCTCTATTGCTATGCCTTTCAAACAAAGAAATATTAAAAAAAAGAAAGTTTCTTAAAAGGCACATACCATGCAAAGACTCCCTGGCTGTCCCCTGGGATGATTCCATGTTGCTTTCCTTCCTTATACCTAAGTGAAAGCACTGGTTCCTGAATGCATAAGGATGTTTTTCAGAGCCAGCACTGTGGTGTAGTGGGCTAAGCCTCCACCTCTGGCGTCGGCATCCCATATGGGTGTCGGTTTGTGTCCAGCAGATGGAAAGATGGAAGACCTCTCTCTCTCTCTCTGCCTCTGCCGCTCTGTAACTCTGCCTTTTTTTTTTTTTTTTTTTTTTTTGGACAGGCAGAGTTAGACAGTGAGAGAGAGAGTCAGAGAGAAAGGTCTTCCTTCCATTTGTTCACCCCCCAAATGGCCGCCAAGGCCATCGCGCTGCACCGATCTGAAGCCAGGAGCCACTTGCTTCCTCCTGGTCTCCCATCCGGGTGCAGGGGCCCAAGGACCTGGACCATCCTCCACTGCCCTCCCGTGCCACAGCAGAGAGCTGGACTGGAAGAGGAGCAATCGGGACAGAATCCGGTGCCCCAACCGGGACTAGAACCTGGGGTGCCGGCACAGCAGGCGGAGGATTAGCCTAGTGAGCCGTGGTGCCGGCCCTGCCTTTCAAATATATAAATAAATCTTTAAAAGAATAATAAAAAAGAGTGTTTTTCTTCCCAGTCTGTCCTGTGTACTTGAAAAACCATAATCCTGAGCAAAGTCCGCTTCGGCACCCCTGGCCCTGCCAGTTGGTTTTCTGCCGGAGCCGTCCCTCAAAGGGTGATCAGAGAGAGCCAGCTTCTCCTTTGTGCCGTGACGTTTTTCTCTTGAGGTTCTCGACTGTTTGGCTGAGCTCCGTGTGCCTGTGGTGCCTGGAGTGTTGACTGGTGTTAGAGCAGATCTCCATCAGCTGGGGTGTTCAGGAGTAGGGGGAGACCCAAACCTCCCTCTTCCCCAGACTCAGCCCCTCTGGCTTCGTTTTCTGCTCTGTCTTGTGGGTGACATAGCAAACCTGTTTGTTTCTTTCTTCTGGTTATACAAGCAGGACACGCTCATCGACCGAAGGCTGTAGAAAGACCGCCGAATCGGCACAGCCGCCTGCCTGGGCAGCCAGTCCCTTCTCTGGGTTGTAGTCGTGGAAGTCCCTCATCTCTGCCCTGACCCTGCTTGCCTGTTTTCCCTGTCAGCGTCATAATCCCTAGGTTGCTCCTGTGTTCCAAAAACCACAGTAGGAGCCCCTCAGTCTTGGCTGCCTCTGACCTGGCTTCCTGCTGATGGACCGTGCGTGGGAGGCAGCACCTGTTTCCACCTGGTCTGCTTTTGCTTCTGCCTTAAGGAGTTCCCTTGAGGTTTTCGTCACAGAGATAAGCTTCTGTATCTGAAGACGTGCTTAACCTTTGCTTTTGAAAGCCCCTCCTGCTGGGCATGGGCTTCTAGATGCACAGATAGCTGTTTTCTTTCAGTGCTTCCAGGATGCTGCTTGGGGTCAGCGTTGTGGCGCGGTGTGGCGTAGCAGTTAAAGCTGCTGACTGTGACGCCAGCATCCTGTGCGGGCACCACTTGATGTCCTGGCCGCTCCAGTTCCCTGCCAGTGGCCTGGGAAAAGCAGTGGAGATGCCCCAAGTGCTTGGGCCTCTCACCCATGCGGGAGACCTGGAAGAAGGTCCTGGCTCCTGGCTTTTACCTGGACTGGCCAAGTCCCAGCTGTTGTGACCACCTGGGAAGTGAACCAGTGGATGGAAGATCTCCCTCTCTCTCCCCCTCTTTCTGTGTAACTCTTTCAAATAAGTAACTAAATCTGAAAAAAAAAAAAAAAAAAAAAGTTGTTGCTCTAGCTCACATTGTTTCCAGCAAGAAATCTGTCACCTTATCTTTGTTCCTTTATATGTGTCTTTTTCTCTCTGGCTGCTTTTAAGACCCCCCCCCCCCCCCATTGTGAATGGTTTTGAGCTGTTTCATTATGAATAGCCTTGGTGTAGTTTTTTTGGGGGATGGGGGTTTGTTGAGCTTCTTGGATCTATGGATATATGTTTTTTTCTTTTAATAATTTTTTTTTTAACTCAAGAGGTAGAGTTACATACTCTGAGAGGGAGAGAGAGAGAGACAGAGATAAAGGTCTTCCATCTGCTGGTTCACTCTCCAAATGGCCTCAACAGCTGGAACTGGGCCGATCCGAAGCCAGGAGCCAGGAGCTTCTTCTGGGTGGGTCTCCCATGAGGGTGCAGGGGCCCAAGCAGAGAGCTGGATTGAAAGAGGAGCAGCTGGGGCTGGCGCCGCAGCTCACTAGGCTAATCCTCCGCCTTACAGCGCCGGCACACCGGGTTCTAGTCCCGGTCGGGGTGCCGGATTCTGTCCCGGTTGCCCCTCTTCCAGGCCAGCTCTCTGCTGTGGCCAAGGAGTGCAGTGGAGGATGGCCCAAGTGCTTGGGCCCTGCACCCCATGGGAGACCAGGATAAGTACCCGGCTCCTGCCATCGGATCAGCGTGGTGCGCCGGCCGCAGAGGCCATTGGAGGGTGAACCAACGGCAAAGGAAGACCTTTCTCTCTGTCTCTCTCTCTCACTGTCCACTCTGCCTGTCAAAAAAAAAAAAAGAAAAGAAAAAAGAAAGAGGAGCAGCTGGGACTCGAACAGGCACCCATATGGGATACTGGTGCCACAGGCGGAGGATTAACCGACTGTGCCACAGTGCTGGCCCTGGATTTATGTGTGTGTGTGTTTTTTTTTTTTTAGATTTATGTATTTATTTGAAAGAGTTACACAGAGAGAGAAGGAAAGGTAGGGAGAGAGGTCTTCCATCCGATGGTTCACTCCCCAGTTGGCCGCAACGTGCTTGTCGGAAACCAGAACCAGGAGCTTCTTCTGGGTGGGTCTCCCCTGCGGGTGCAGAGGCCCAAAGACTTGGACCATCCTCTGCTGCTTTCCCGGGTCCTAACAGAGAGCTGGAGCTCGAATGGGCGCCCGTATGGGATGTGGCACTGCACGTGGCGGCTTTGCGTGCCGCGCCACAGCACCGGCCCCTCCCTTTCCTCCTTTTGATGGTTTTCCCCTGGTTTTGAGTATATGCTCGCGTGTGTGTGCTGCCCAGGGGGGCGGGTCCTCTTCCTGGGCAGCTCTCTTGTCTCCAGTGTTCTGAATGCAGTCTCTGGCTCGCGGGGTCTCCCTGGACTCTTGACTGGGGGGCATCTGATGGATTTTGCCTGGGATCCCTGCCCTGAGCCACAGCTGGAGCTCCCCCGGGGCACTAAGCTGGGGAATTGCAGGGCTCCCCTCATTTGTCTCCTGTTTCTTGGGGACCGCTGTATGAAAATCTGGTTTCTTGAAGCTGTTGTTTCATGTATTTTGTCTGTTTTTTCAGTTGTTTTAGTACGGAGATCAGTCTGGTCCCTGCTGCCCCCTCTAGCTCAGAACAGGATTCCGGGGGAATGGTTTTGAGTTGCCAGATGAATCCGCAGAGCTCTCTGAGGTCTTGTACAAGTGTGCACACCTCGGGAGGCTCCCAGGCCTCTCAAGCCCCCGCTTTTAACCAGCTGGTTATTTACATGCTGCTGACACGCTGCTGGCACATAGAGGTCATCCAGCAGCCGGCGGTTCCCTGGCTGCCTGGGGTGTTCCTGCCGCCTTCATTTCCCTGGGCCGGTGCCTGGCGTGGCGTTGATGAGAATTGGAGGTCAGCAGAGGTTGTTGAGTGAGTGTATGATACTGCCTGGGACTCATCCTTATCTGATCATCTTTCTCAAGACCCAGTCGCTGGTTCCAGTGTGGGAGAAAAGTCCCCCTCTTCCTCCCGCTGCCGTCCCTGCGCTGCTGGGCCCATTTCCCCAGGGCTGCGAGCAGGAGAGCAGAGCTTCGCCGACAGTGGCCCCCAGTGAGGAGCTGCAGGCTGGTTTGAGCTGTTTCCCTCCAGCAGCCTGGGCCAGCATCCCCCAGGGTATCGTGGTGGGGATGGGAAGGCCCTTTGGGAGTAGTAGCTGGAAAACTGCTCCTGGACCCGGCTCTGTGCTTCTAGCTGTGTGCCTTTGGGCACAGTGCTCAGCACGCCTGGGGCTCAGCCTATCATCTGTTACGTGAGTATATTAGTTATGCTAGTTGTGGGCTTGTCATCTGTTCAGTGGGTATACTAGTTAGCTTTTCGTTACTCCAGCTACCTATCTAAGACAAGCTACTCATGAAGAAAGAAGGTTTATTTCAGCTCCTGGTTTTGGTGGGTCACAGTCCAAGATTGGGTGGTCCCATTAATCTGGTGCCTTTTATTTTTTAAAATATTTATTTATTAATTATTTGAAAGATATAGTTATAGACAGAAAGGAAGGCAGAGAGAGAATTTCTTCCATCTGCTGGTTCATTCCTCAAATGGCCACAGTGTCAAGGGCAGGGCCAGATTGAAGCCAGGAGCCTGGAACCCCATCCTAGTCCCCCACATGGTGGGCAGGAGCCAAGGGTTTGGGCTCCTCCAGCAGGGAGCTGGATCGGAAGTGGAGCAGCCAGGACTTGAACTGGCACTCATATGGTACGCCAACATCACAGGCAGCGGCTTAACCCACTGCTCCACAACGCCAGCCCCTGATGAGGGTGGTGGGTGGCGGATCACCTGCAGGGGAAGGATCATGTGGAGCCGGGACCCAGGGAGCACACCTGTCACTTGTCCTGGTGAAGCCCACGCAATTCCGTTATAGGAAACCCACGGTCACAGCCCAGGCCAGTGCAGTGCCTTCACTCCCCAAGGCCCTACCTGCAGGCACCATAATGAGTCAACCCATGACTTGGGGGCTTTAACATCTTCATGAATTAGGGAGCCAAATCCCATTTAAACCACAGCAGTGGCCTTGATCACCCTGTCCTGCCATCTCACAGGGCTGTTAGCATATGTGCAAAGATGCCTTGCCCTGGTAGAATTTTATATAACACCACTATTATTTTCTTGGTAGTCTTACCAAAGAAAGGAACATGCTGAAGTGTTTACATTTTCTTTTCCTAGTTGGGTGCCTGTGCCGCTTATTTTTGGTTACATTGCACTTGGTAAGCAGCAGGTTTCAGGTGAAGCTGTGCATTGGTTCATCTATTTATTTGAAGTTTTTACTTTAGTGCCTCCGTGTGACCTGCTTCCTTACTCTGAGATTGTGTGTTGGGTGGCTTTTGGGGCTGGCTGGTGGTTTAATGGAATGGGTAACTTTCTCTCTTAAAGGAGATTTTCTGATTTGAGAACTGTAACTCTCGGGAGCTCTTTGTTTTCTTTTTCGAGTCACACGTGACCGTGCTCATGGTGGCATGTTTTAGTTGCAGAGGGAAGTGGTCACCTGTGGTCGGAGGAGCAGCCTGTGGCCCCTCTCCAGGTGGGGGCCGTGCACCTGAGCGAGGAGGAGCCCCCGCACAACTCGAGGAGCCAGGCCGGGGCCGCAGAAGAGGAAGACGCGGTGCTGGGGCTGGACATGCTTGGCCATCCCATGGCTGTGCTGTCCGTGGTGCCCGGGGAAGCCGAGGACCCGCTGAGTGCCGAGCCCAGCGTGGATGGCACGTGCAGGGCAGACGGCGAGGAGGGCTCGAGGTGCCAGCCCCGGGAGAGCCTCCTCTCGCTGGACAGTGCGGGGGCGAGCTCCCACGGCCGTGATCAGGAGGAGGAGCGCTACGGCGAGCCAGAGGTGGCCGAGCCGGCCCCAGCCCCCACCGAGGACTCCAACAGCACCGAGAGCCCCAAGTCCCCCAAGGTCAGCTGTGAGGAGAGAAATGTGACCGGGCTAGAAAATTTCACTCTGAAAATTTTAAATATGTCCCAGGTAAGGAAACCATCACGGAAGACTTAGGTTCAGGCCGTTGGTTTTGTGATTTGATACCTGAGCAGCTTTCAGATGGAGGGCCGCCCGTGTCGTCAGTGGGAGGCTGGCTAGTGGCTGCTCCCGTGAAAACGGATCCTCGCTGGGGTCTGTGGGGAGGGAGGAGCTGGAACTGCTGTGGGTGCTGATTTCTCAGGTGGCCTCGAGGCAGCCTCCCACCAAGCCTCAGGATGAAGTTCCAGGAGGCAGACAGGTGCTGGGCCTTCTTCTTCCAAAGGACTCACTCACTGAAGAAGCAACTTAAAAGTACCTGAATTAGGAGCATTGTAATTTAGCCTTAGTTAGACAAAACATGTTTCATCAGTGACAGGTTTCTGTCTCCACCAAAGAATGCCTCAGGTTCATTCTGGAGTGGGAACAGAGACCGTGTCCCCAGCCCAGCCGTGCTGGGTAAAGGTGATTGCACAGGGCATCCTGGAATCAGGACTGCCCATGGAGGAGGGCCGAGGAGCCGGAAGAGCAGGAGAGTAGGGCTGCTTATGTGAGAGGAGTCTCCGCTAGTTCTGACAGCTGCGACTGCCTGTTGTCAACCAGGCCACCGTGGTGCTCAGAGCCCCTCCAGGGGCAGGGCCGGCCTCGCCTCCCCTCCTGAGTGCTGGGCGGCCAGTTCGCAGGTGTCACACACGTGACTGGCACAGCCTGAGCTACAGTTTAAACAGTGGTGGGCACTGGGGTGCTGCACCAGTGAACTGGGTCGGTGTCTGGACAGTTACATCCGTCTGGTTGCTTAGTCCAGGCTTGGCTCTGCTGAGGCGGGAGGCTGAGATCCCGTTGCTCCCATGATGCCGCTGTAGACTGAGCAGCACAGTTCAAAGGTCGGGAGTGAGTGCCTAGTGTTTCTATTAATGAAAAATAGCAAAATTTCCCTGTAGTCATGTTTAAAAAGATTTATTTGAAAGGCAAAGCAACAGGGAGACAGAGAAAGAGGGAGAGAGATTGATCTTGCATTTGCTGGTTCACTCCTCAAATGGCCACAACAGCCAGAGCAGGGCCAGGCCAAAGCCAGGAGCCAGGAACTCCATCTGGGTCTCCCACGTGGGTGGCAGGGGACCCAACTGCTTGAGCCTTTACCTGCTGCCTCTTGGGGTGCACATTGGCCGGAACCCGGATTGGAAGCAGAGCTGAGTCTCAGACCAGGCACTCCAGTGGTGTCTCCGCTGGTGCCTTAACCTGTGAGGCAAACGCCGCCCCGGTGGGCTTTTCTGCACATTCGTGGATTCGGATGGGTCAGAATCCCAAAGCTCGTCCCCGCCCCACCGCCAGTTCTCCCTGCTGGCAGCTGTTTGCTGCTTCTCCAGTGTCCTTGCGTGTGGCTGACTCCTGTGCTCGCCTCTCTTCCCGCAGGACCTCATGGACTTCCTCAACCCCAACGGCAGTGACTGCACCCTCGTCCTCTTCTACACCCCGTGGTGCCGCTTCTCTGCCAGCCTGGCCCCTCACTTTAACTCTCTGCCCCGGGCGTTTCCGGCTCTTCACTTCCTGGCCCTGGATGCGTCTCAGCACAGCAGGTGCCTTTCCCGGGAGGGGTCTGCGCCTCCTCCTGATGCTTGCAGTGTTCGGAGGTAGTAATTGGTGACGTCAGAAGCAGAGGAGGTGGGCAGGATGTGGGGCGTGGGAAGGTAAGAGTGAGTGGTACAGACTCTCACATCGCCGGGGGCTGGTGGTCTCACTTGCTGGAGGCCCCTTGGAGAAAGAGGCCCGGTCTCTGTGTGGTGGATTTCAAGGGGCAGGCTTTCCAGGTCCTGGCTAGACTGAATTAGCCCAGCTGGTATCACAGTGGATATCCCTTTGTGACTTTAAACTACAGTTTAGACCATACCCCTGGTGGCCTAGCTGCCAGCACCCTGTCCTGTGTCTGCCTCCCCTCCCCTCCCCTCTCTGTTCCCCTTTTCTTCTTATTTACACTTGTTTGTGCATGCACATTCTGTGCTAGGCAAGGAAGTCATGAATTGACTTAGCTCTTTGAAATGACCTCGGCCCTTGCTTTACACTTGTTTTATATTGTTCCTTGGGCTTCTGTCTGTGGAAGTAATCGTGTCCCTGAGAACCTGGTCCGGATGCTGTGTGTTTCCACTCAGTGCCATGGCCGCACCAGGGTCCTGCACAGTGTGTCTTAGCCCCCTCTTCTCATTCGAGATGCTTTGTAGCAGGTCCAAGGGAGGTCGTACGCGGCTGCATCTGGGATGTCAGGAAGCCGTCCGTGTGGGGGTGAAATGAAGCTGAGTGACACTGTATCTGCACACCACTGATTTGCATTGTGGGAATGTAACTGCCAGTGTTGACCCAATACCACTGATGAGGAACAAAATGCCCAGCAAAGTAGTCGGTGGTCATACCGCTTGAGGAAAATCCCTAGTTAGGTGGCCTGTGCCAGGGGAACAGACTTATGGCAAGGATGGTGCGGATCAGTGTCCAGCCTTGAGCAGGCCCTCTGCTGCCCCGGGCACATCCAGCACTCCTTGGTTATGGCTCTAGCACTGCCCCCTACAGTGCTCTTTTTTTTTTTTTTTTTAAAGATTTATTTATTTACCTGAAAGGCAGAATTACAGAGAGGCAGAGGCAGAGACAGAGAAGAGAAAGGTCTTCCATCCACTGGTGCACTCCCCAAATGTCCGCAACATCTGGAGCTGTGCCGATCTGAAGCCAGGAGACAGGAGCTTCCTCCAGGTCTCCCACGCGGGTACAGGGGCCCAAGCACTTGGACCATCTTTCACTGCTTTCCCAGGCCATAGCAGAGAGCTGGATGGGAAGTGGAGCAGCTGGGACTTGAACTTGCGTGCTCATAGGGGATGCCGGCACTGCAGGTGGTGGCTTTATCTGCTATGCCACAGCACTGACCTCCCACAGACTTTTAGCGTCTGCTTTGTTCTTCTTTCACCTCGTGCGGTGCCCGGTTTGGTGCCCTACTTGTGGATAGCAGGACACTTGTTATTACATGGGCCGGACATGTGTTTGCCTCCCATGTTCGTATGTACACTTCAGCATGTGTACAGGAGCACACTGCGGCTCCTCCAGCGTGGCTGTTTTACTAATGGCGGAAGCTGAGGTGTGGGGAGGTTAGGTCCTCTGCGGAGGTCACACTGCCGTATCAGTGGCAGCGCTGAGGCTTGGGCATGATGACTGCGGAGTGTCACCACTAACCAGGCTGTATGGGCAGGGGAACCAGCCGTGCACGGGTCCTGTGCTGCAGAGATGTCCTTCCCTGTGTGACCCTCCGCGGGGCTGTGCGCGCCCACGTTCCCTTCCCCATGCCCAGACCTCATCGCTTTCCCTAAGTTGGCCTCCTTGGGGGTGGTGATGGGCACTCGGAAGAGACTGCAGTTTTCCATCAGGTGCACTTTGTCCACGAGTGAGAATTTTCTGGTCGATCTGTTGTGACTGTTAGGAACTCAGCTAACGGAAAGCACTGCGGGTTGCAGAACAGGAATGCCCGCCCTGTGCTGTGCAGGCAAGACGTCGGGCACGAGCCGAAGCCTGCAAGGAACCTCCTTCTGGCACACAGCCCCGAGCCTCACTGATTTCTGTCCATCCTGCAGACGGTTGGGGAGAAAGCCCACCGTTCATCAGGTCTTCTGACTGACCTCTCTCTCGTAGCCTTTCTACCAGGTTTGGCACCGTGGCTGTTCCTAACATTTTGTTATTCCAAGGAGCAAAACCAATGGCTAGATTCAATCACACGGATCGAACGTTGGAAACGCTGAAAGTCTTCATTTTCAATCAGACAGGTATGTGGACACAGTGCCCCGAGGGCGCTCACCCTCCGTGGGTTCTGTCTGCATGGCAGAACTCCTTTCCTCAGGGAAGGAGTCAAGATTGGCTTTGGTTTGTCCCAAACCGTCACAGTCCTGTTAGTGTCACAGTCACTGGCGAGCTTAACAGGCACGCGTAATCTGCTGGAGATACTCTGTGTTTTCAAAACAGAAACGCAAACCAAGCTTTATGGAAATCTAAATCGCACGCCACACCCTGTACCAGCAGATACCATTTGCATACATTTTTCACTTGTTTGATATCTACACAAGATTTGCACGCATCTTTGGCATACAGGGTGATGAAATTTCACAGTGAACGTGAAGCAGAACACAAGCAGTGCTCTCGCAGCCCTGCTGCACCTACTGCCCCTGCCCTCCCCAGAGGTAGCCACAGCCTGACTCCTGATAGCGCAGGCCACCGTGGCCTGCTCAGCATGTTCTGTTAGTGGACGCGTGGAGCATTCTGTATTGTTGGGCTTGTGTCGCCCAGCGTTGTGTTTGTGAGATGCATCTGCATTGCCATGTGTGGCTATGTTTTGCTCATTTTCATTGCTATGTGCTGGGCCATTTCTCAGTCCATTTGCAGATGCTATTCAAGTTCCTTAGTATTTGCTAAAACTTACGTATTATTTATTTATTTCTATTTTGCTCTGCCCATAAAAATTTGAGCACTATAAATTGAAATTTCTGCTACTGGAAAAGTTCACTCCTAAAAAGTGTTAATCTCAGTTATGAACATCCCACTTCTTCCTCGAGTACAGTCATTGGGAGTCAATGCAAATTATAGCATGCTTTCTGTTTATTTTAGGTTGCATTCTAGGGCTGAAGCAGAAAGAGCTGTGAGCTTGTGGGAGTAAGAGTGGGATGTTACATGGTGTCAGCTGTTGCAGGGCTGGTACCAGATCCTTGACTGACATGGGCAGACGAAGGCCTTTGGCCTGGTGCACTAGGAAATCCTAGAACACAAATTAAATCCATGAGCCCCAGCATCTCTGCTGCCCACTGATCCCAGTGGGAGCTGGCTGTTCTAACAGTTTCCGGTAATGCAAGTGAAAGAGTTTTTGCATTTAGCTTTACCTAGCCTGTGGATATATTCTGTGGACCTCTCAAAATGGCTTTTGCGGGTTACTTGTTGGACTTTTATCTGGAAAGAGAACAAAAAGCAACTCTGAACAGTGCATTGAGTGAGAAACTTGGGAGCACTTCCCAGCAGTTCTGCTGTTTTAGCTCTGAACAGCCAAGTGGAGAGCCAGTCCCTTGATGTGGCAAGGAGAGAGCGAGCTGCGGGTTACACGGACAGACAGTGAGCTTCACTCCGCACACGCCAGTGGGGGCTCTGTTTTGGGACTGTGTGCCATTTTGCATACCCCGTGTGCTCCTTCAGAGAAACCCGAGGTGGTGCGTGTGCCGGCTGATGTGAAACCGTGCATTTCTCTTGCAGGTATAGAAGCCAAGAAAAACGTGGTGGTGACGCCAGCTGACCAGATCGGCCCCCTGCCCAGCACTTTGGTAAAAAGTGTGGACTGGCTGCTTGTATTTTCCTTATTCTTTCTGATTAGTTTCATTATGTACGCCACCATTCGAACTGAGAATATTAGGTGGCTAATTCCGGGACAAGAGCAGGAGCACGTGGAGTGATGAGGGGCCCAGAGGGAAGAGGAATTTCAGTCCTTCGTTTCAGAACCTGGCGCTGCCGGCTTTCAAACGTTTTCTCCAGGGAAGTGTTGATTGCAGCTTCCATCACAGGAGAGGAATCACATCTGCCGAACAACTGGATGTGGAGGAATTATCCACTGGTGTTTTAACCAGGCGGGCAATAGGCACGTGCATACATTCACCAGAACTCATTGTTCTTGTTTTACCCACTGAACAGAATGCAGTGTTTTATTTGAAATGTGAAGACAGTGAGTATAACGAGCCTAGCGTGCTGTCTAGGCAGCAGAGACAGGCCTGTGGGACTGCAGTTTTAGAAAGCTCCTGATTCCTCCCATCTAAGAAGGTTAGTTTTCCGGTTGCTTGCACTTTCTCTTTCCATGTCTGCAAGCAGGAGTGTTTTGTTCTGGGAAGAGTAACTGGAATTGATAAATGTGACCCCGTAAGTAACAACTGATGGAAAATAAAACAGTCAGATACCTTGGTGTTTGCAATCTCGTCTCTCACCGCCTAGAGAAACTGAAGTGGTTTAGGTTGTTCTGGGTAAGGCGGATCCTGGGAGAAGCTCACTGAGGATCCATTCTGTGCTAAAGCCTGAACTGTGGTGGAAGTTATTTCACCAGTGTGCACTGTCAGAACCGTCAGTTGCTGCTGGCACTGTGCCAGGTTTAGTGAGCCCTCCCCTCCCCCAGAAGAAGTGTGACTCCCTGTTCTTGCCCACAAGTTGATTCTAGTCCAGTTCAGGACATAATCAGGAAAGAGACACCATGTGACTGCTGCAAACCTTTTGAAAAGCTCTTTCTAAAAGACCCGTTAAATTCAGATGTGACGGCTGTCTTACATTACTTTTACACTATTGCTGTTGTTTGGGAATAGTTGAGTGTTTACCTCATAAAACACCCTAAGTCCCATACAGACAGAACCTCAGTAGGTCTCCTCAAGTGTCACACTGAGTGAGAGCTTCCCACTTTCTAGTTTTGTGCCACTGTGAACAGCTGTGGCCAGGGCGGTCACGGGCAGAGGGGACTGTGGCTGAGAACGGTGCCATTATTCTGTCTGTTTTACAGATGAGCAGCTGGCACAGGGGTTAAAGAACTTACTCAGGTTACACAGATGGCGAATAAAAGGGGGGAAAACCCGAGTGATTATCCATCTGTCCATCTCTTATAATACCTAACATTTGAGTTACTACTGTGTGACTGTCATCTACTACTTTTTTTTTTTTTTTGGACAGGCAGAGTGGACAGAGAGAGAGAGAGAGAAAGGTCTTCCTTTTCCATTGGTTCACTCCCCAAGTGGCTTCTGCAGCCGGCGCGCTGTGGTCGGCGTACCACACTGATCCGAAGCCAGGAGCCAGGTGCTTCTCCTGGTCTCCCATGCGGGTTGCAGGGCCCAAGGACTTGGGCCATCCTCTACTGCACTTCCGGGCCACAGCAGAGAGCTGGACTGGAAGAAGAGCAACCGGGACAGAATCCGGCGCCCCGACTGGGACTAGAACCCGGGGTGCCAGCGCCGCAGGCGGAAGATTAGCCTAGTGAGCCACGGCACTGGCTTGTCATGCACTATTTTTCAGTGTTTTACCTCAGCTATTTCACTTGCCCATACAGTAGCCCTATAGCATTGGTACTACCAAGTATCCTTATTTGAGGGCAGGCATTTAGCATAGGGGCTAAGATGCCCACATCTGGAACACCTGGGTTCTGTTCCTGGCTCTGGCTTCTGACTCCAGCTTCCTGCTAATGCATACCCTGGGCAGCAGCAGTAACGGCGGAAGTAGGTGGGTTCCTCCTGCCCATGCAGGAGACGTGGATTCTGTTCTGGCTCCCAGCTTCAGCCATGGCTGTTGGCCGGTGAACCAGCAAATAGTAGGTCTCACAGCATGTCTCTCTCACACTAAATAAAAATTTTAAGGGGCTGGCGCCGTGGCATAGTGGGTAGAGTTGCCACCTACAGTGCCAGCATCCTATAGGGGCATTGGTTTGAGTCCTGGCTGCTCCACTTCCGATCCAACTCTCTGCTGTGGCCTGGGAAAGCAGTGGAAGATGGCTTTTTTTTTGAGTGCTTGGGCCCCTGCACCCACATGGGAGACCTGGAAGAAGCCCCTGGCTCTTGGCTTCAGATCAGTGCAGCTCTGGCCATTGCAGTCAACTGGGGATTGAACCAGTGGATGGAAGACCTCTCTCTCTCTCTCTCTCTCTGCCTCTCCTTTCTCTGTGTAACTCTGACATTCAAAATAAGTGAATCTTTAAAAAAATTTTTTTAAATCTCCATCTTTCAGAGTAAACTGAAATCCCAAATAACTTGCTTTATTATCATTTACTTTATTTTTTTTTCTTTTTCTTTTTCTTTTTTTTTTTTTTACAGGCAGAGTGGACAGTGAGAGAGAGAGACAGAGAGAAAGGTCTTCCTTTGTCGTTGGTTCACTCTCCAATGGCCGCCGCGGCCGGCGCACCGCGCTGATCCAATGGCAGGAGCCAGGTACTTATCCTGGTCTCCCATGGGGTGCAGGGCCCAAGCACTTGGGCCATCCTCCACTGCACTCCCTGGCCACAGCAGAGACCTGGCCTGGAAGAGGGGCAACCGGGACAGAATCCAGCACCCTGACCGGGACTAGAACCCGGGGTGCCGGCGCCGCAAGGCGGAGGATTAGCCTAGTGAGCCGCGGCGCCGGCCTATCATTTACTTTAAACAATTTATTTATTGGAAAGGCAGAGTTGGTGGGGGAAGACACAGAGATTGTCCATCTCCTGGTTCACTCCCAAATGGCCACAACTACCAGGGTTAGGCCAGGCTGAAGCCAGGAGTTAGGAGCTTCATCTGATCTCCCACTTGAGTGCAGGGGCCCAAGGACTTGGGCCCCCTTCTGCTGCTTTCCCAGGCACATCAGCAGGGAGATGGATCAGAAGACGAGCAACTGGAATATGAACCATCAAATGGGATGCTGGCAATGCAGGTGGCAGCTTTACCTTCATGTCACAACACTGGTCTCTAGTATTTACTTTTTTTTTTTTTAAGGATTTATTTATTTATTTGAAAGAGTTACACAGAGAAGCAGAGGCAGAGAGAATTCTTGCATCTGCTAGTTCACTCCCCAGTTGGCCGTAACAGTCGGAGTTGCGCTGATCCAAAGCTAGGAGCCAGGAGTTCCTGGTCTCCTACGTGGGTGCAGGGGCCCCAGCACTTGGGCCATCTTTCTCCACTGCTCCCCCAGCCCATAGCAGAGATCTGGATCAGAAGTGGAGCAGCGGAGACTTGAACCGGTGCCCACATGGGATGCCAGGACGGCAGGTGGTGGTTCCACCCGCTATGCCACAGCACTGGCCCCAAGTATTCACATTAATAAGCAAATATGAAGAGTATTTTTCATGACCATAAAACACCCTATGTAAACACTGGTGATGCAGCTTGTAATTCCACCCCGGCCTGTCTTCCAGCATCAGGCAAAAGAAACCGTGTCTTGGATAAATGCCTCAGACCAGGGGCATTTGACCAGGGTCCTGAGTGATTCCTCCCCCAGGTTTGCTTTTGAAATACCTGACATCTTGTTACATGGGTAAAAGGCAAAGTAGGTAGGCCAGGCCAGAAGTCCATGAATTTTAGGCTATTTTGTGGCAAACGGCTTTATTTTTACCAAGTCTATATGAGATACATAACTGCTAATAACCAGTAAGTTGAATTTATATGGGCTGTCTCTGGATATTTAAACTTTTCCTATATCCTCTTTTTAAGGTGCTTATATTAATTTGCTTAAGCGATTCAGTGAAAAAAAAAATACAGGGGAACCTACTAAAAACTACAATATACGGGTGAATTTCAGTGTGTCAACTACATCTCGAAAAAAGAAGAGAAAAGGTATTAAAAACAGCTACACACATACATAAGTGAGAAAGAACACCTCCCTAAAAAGGATTCCAGAGAAAATCTGCAAACCTGGCCACACCTGTTCTCTGGGGTCTGTGCAGGTGCGGCGCTCCATGCTTTTCAGAGCGCAGGCGAGCCAGCCGAGCAGGGGCTCACGCGCCAGTGTGCTCAGGGGTCCGGCGGCTACGCCCTCACCACTGAGCACAGTTGGGGTTCGAATCCACGGCTTTCCGTAGGGGTCGCCGCCCTCGCCAGTACCGAATTAACCGCAGCGGGACGGTCCCCGCGCACCTGTCGCTCATCCCCGCAGGCCCCGGCCCTCCCGAGCCTCCCGCCGGCGCGCACCGCCCGCACACCGCCCCGCACGAGACTGAGTCAAGGCCCAGGCCCGAGGAGCCCGACCGGAGGGCGGCCCCGTGCCTCGGGCGACCAGCGCCGCCGCACACCCCCAGCCGCCGGGCTGCGGGGCCAACTCGCTCGGCGTCCATTGAAGCTCCTGGGGGCCTTCGGGGCCTGGGCCGCACCTGGGCCTGCGCGGCGGGTCCTGCCGTGCGGGCGGCCACGCTCGCGGCTGCTTGCTGTGTGCGGAGCCCTCGGCTCCCGGCGGCGCGCGCGGGGAGGAGTCGCGGCGGCCGGCGCAGAGCCCGGACAGGCAGCGCGCCGGACAGCCCTCGGCGGGAGGCCATGGCGGCGGCCCTCCGGGCGCGGGGGGCGACGCGGCGCTTGCTGGCGGCGCTGTGGCGCCGGAGCCCGAGCCTCGCGGCCATGGTGAGTGCCCAGCGGCCGCGCGTGCGGGAGGAGCGCGCGGCCCGGCGCCGCGGGCTGAGGGGCGGCAGCGGCCGGGCCGACCCTGAGGGGGGCTGGGCCTTCCGGCTCGGGACCCGGCACCTGCCCGACGCGCGCGTCGGGACTCAAGGCGCGCCCGCAGCATCTGTCACGTGGTCCTCGGCCGAAACTTTCTGCCGCGGTCTCCGGAAACAAACGAGCACGCATTCTGTTTAGAGGGAAGGTGGTGGGGACGCTGCGAGGGGCACCCGAGGGGCTCCGTGACCAGCGGGCCGGCGCGCTCGCGCCAGCGGCTTCTCAGTGGTCCGGGAGTTGCCTAGCCTCTCAGCGGCTCGCAATGATCTACTGAGGGGCGGCACCTGGATTTCTGCTTCCCTCTGGCGAGGGGCGTCGGCCGCCTGTCCTGGTTGGCCGCGCAGCACCACCTGGTGGACCAGTGCAGCATTCAACTCGCCCGCGCGTTCCCTCGGTTGCTCCATTGGGCGCTGCGGGAGGAACAGAAATGGACCATAGCGAAGTCCACGGCGCGACTGGAGTGCTGTCACCTAGGCGTGTCTCAGGGCATACCTCTGCCCAGGGTGCTGGCGACCAGGTGCAATGGTGATGTCTTGGGAAGGCAGCAGTGAGCCCATGGGGTCCGGTGGTTGTCACGTGCCTGGCTGCGTGCCTTCACATTCAGGGCTCTTTATAAAGATTTTTATTGTATTTATTTGGAAGGCAGAGTTGCAGAGAGAGGGGGGCGGGGGAGACAGATCTGACATCTGCTGGTTCACTCACCAATTGGCCGCAACAACCAGGGCTGGGCCAAACTATCACCAGGAGCCTTTTCCATGTCTCCCACGTGGGTGCAGGGGCCCAAGCACTTGAGCCGTCTTCCCCTGCTTTCCCAGGCCATCGACAAGGAGCTGGATTCGAAGAGGAGCAGTGGAGGCTGAAACTTGAGCCCAGCAGGGATGCTGGCGCTGCAGCACAGTGCCGCAGCGCTGGCCCCTCTTATGGTTCTTGTTTTATTTTTATTTTTTTTTTTTGGCAGTGGGCACAGTTTATTCCACTTCCTGCAGACTCTGACCCACTCGTTTGGTTCTTAAGGGTGCATTGTTTTTCATAATAATCCTTTACGTGTTTTAAGTAACAAACATTCTCATTTTCCCTTTTGTCAGTTTTGGGGAAAGGTAGGTGACGTAGCAAGGAGGAGAAGCTAGAAAAGTGGTTCTTCAGCACCCTCTTTCCTTTTCATGGAATAAACTTGTGTCGGTATCCGTGACAGGTGCGTGGGATCCTGGAGCGGCAGAGTGCAGAGCCTGGAGAACCCTGCTCAGCCCCAGGTCTAGGAGTTTCCGTTTTCTGGGCGGTGGTTTCTCTCTCACCTGAGCCTGTGGTGGGCCTGCAGGCAGATGAGGCAGGGGGTCTTGGCTGGCGCTGATGCTGGGATGCGAACCCAGATTCCTGAGTTCTGGTGGAGAGTTCTCCGCTCGCTGGCTGTGATGTTTAGAAACAGAGTGGCTGAAGACGTGTGGTCCCGCTAAGCAGCAGAGCCTGGGATTGGGATGTTGTCACCAGGGAGGAGGGAGAGGCTGGACCAGGCACAGGAGGGCTTCGGACTGGACAGTGCCCTGGCCAGCCTGTGCTAGGAGCGTGTCGCGAACTCACTCCGTCAGGGAACGGACTTGGAGCCTGTGGCTCAGGGGCTCTGTGGCCCCCCGGTAGTTATTATATAGAGTCCCGTGTAGGTGGGACTGATTTTCATCATACATGAAAAGGAACAGGAATTCCGCATGGTGAAAGCCCGTGTCAATGGGCAGCACAGGCTACCGAGGTGGTCTGTGCCCATGCAGAGAGCAGCGGACGGGGGGGGTTTGGAGCCCCGGGGTGCATTCCTGGTCCGCTTGTACCCTTAACCACCAGGGAAGCTGAGTTGTGAAGTGAGAGGCAGCAGTGTGGGACTGGGGACCCTGTATTGTGGAGGCCACGTGTTCCATGCAGAGCTGACCTCGGTTTTGTCCATCTTTCGAGAACAGTGGGGTGAAAGATGGTTGGAATTTGTTACCCTGGGACCTTATTCTGCATCTTGCGTTAAGGTGAAGAGCTACAAGTTCAGCTGAGTTCAAGTAAACCTCTGTGCTCTCAGAAGTGCGATGTGTTTTCTTGGCAGTCGGCGGATGCTCAGTGGCTGACGGCGGAGGAGAGGAGAGAAGCTGTGCTTGACCTCAAAGCAGCAGGATGGGCGGAACTAAGCGAGAGAGATGCCATCTACAAAGAGTTCTCCTTCAAAAACTTTAATCAGGTACTTACTGTGAATGCTTGCTAGTTACTTGGCTCTTTTTTGTTAGCCTAGGCTGTAACCCGCTCTGACTTTGCTGGCTGTCTGGTCCCACGTGGACCAGGATCCCAGCTCCCTCCCTCCCCTGGGAACTCAGTGACTGCTGACTTCCTGGGTGACAGTCGTTGCTACTTTGCTTAGTGGTTTGAGCGTCGAATTCTGAAGCCACCGTTTCTTTGATTGGGTATTCATGAGGATATTTCGTGTCTGAGAATTTTGAATAACGCTTGAAGAGGGTGTGAGAGCTTTGTTGTTTATGCGAAGGGGCCTCGAGTGAAACTGGGAAACGCACACCCGTGGGAGCATGTGCTTCCCTCTCCCTGTGCCCTTGTGAAGTTTCCCTTCTTCCTGTGGCTGTGTTTCTGCCACTCAGCCGTCTCCCAAGCTGTTGCCATCCCCCCAGCCCAGGCTTTTCGTAAAACTCGTCCTTCCTCTTGGAGAGTCGGCCTCAGCAAGGTAGCTTCCACGTGGGCCGCGCCCCGCTTACAGAGTCATCTCCCGTGACTGCCCTTTGGGTCTTGCCCCGCTGCGCCTATAGCAGGGAACTGACTCTGACCGTTTCGTGTTTGTTCAGTTAGTTCAGTAATCCTTTGGACAGATTTATTGTTTTTATTTATATTAGGTGTCAGCTTCTAGAAGTCAGAGACCGTGTTTGCTTAAATAACTCTCTTTTGTACCCAACACGGTTCTGGGTACAAACAGGCATTTGATAAATGCAGACATTGATGACAGTGTTTGCTCACTTCTAGAAGGGTGTGTGAGCAGCAGAATTGCACCAGTGAAGCCCTCGCTGTGTTTTCCTAGCGAGTGCCGTTGGCTCCACTGAGCCGCTGCCCTGTTCTGTTCTCCGTCCATCTGGCGGCCAGCTTCTGCTGAGTCCCGGCTCCGGGGGAAACCTGGGCCAGGCAGACTGCCTGTCCCTGCTGCCCCACGTGCTCGACAGCTCTTGTCAGGGGCTTAGCACTCTGTGGCTGGTGGCAGGGAATCCCATTGGTACAGTAAGCTTGTGCATAAGCTCTAGGTAGCATTTTCCAAGCTTATTAAAATTCTTACATGCGTACAGCTTGACTTCTTTAAGCCTGGGCTAATTTATTGGGCTTGAACATGTGGCTTAAAGTACTTGAGTGGTGCTGCCTCGGGCTCTGCCCATGAGTCAGTCCCCCAGCACCACGCCGCCCTGTGCTCGGGTGGCTGATGCATTGTCATGCTCCTCACCGAGACGTCTTCCTTCGCTTCACCCAGTGTTGGGAGAAAGAGGCAGATGACAAGAGCTTCGGCTGGTGTCCGGGGAGGTGTTCAGAGAGCCAACCTCGAGCAGATACCCTGGGGTCTGTTTGGTTTTCAGCCTGGCTCCTGTGACTTCTGCACGTACAGTGTCCACTGGTGTCGTGACCACTGTCAGGGCCCTGCGGCCACAGACAACCAGAGCCAGGTCCCCAGCTGGCTAAACTGGACGCCGTGCTCCCTGCAGGGAGGGAGCGTGCACGGCCTGGCGGAGCCGCAGGGCGTCCCAGGGAGGGACAGGAGGTTGGGAAGATTCGTTAGGGCTGGGGCTGGCGCCAGTGACTTTGGGAGATTTTTAAGGAATCGGGACTTAGTTCCAGATTGGATGCTGTCAGGCAGTGGGTAGCTGTGTGACTCAGCGTTTCAGTTGAGCGTGGGGCGGGGCAGGGCTGCAGCTGGGAGCAGAGGATGGGGCAGTGAGTCGCCCAGCAGCTGGGAGAGGGTGTGGGTCGGGCAGCGACCTTTCTCCGTGTCCTGTTTGTGTCGCAGCCACCGCAGTCACAGAGGGCCTTTGTCTGACACGGGACCACGCCAGCTCCCACGTGCGGGAGCTGCTTTTCTCGGGCTCGCGAGCCGTGACCCGCTGGCACTGAGCGACCCTCACGCATCTTTCATCTCGGACAGAAAAGCCATTGTTTTTTGTTGTAACAGCAACATAAAATAGGATGATATGAATAAAATAACTTCCCACTGCTACTGCTTTTTTCTTGGTTCTTTCTCTGTAGGTCTAGTTTTCTCAGTGTGGCAATTGTACACGCAGTTAAATTGGTAAAATATGGGTTTAATGTTTACCATACATGTTTATTATTCATTGATTCAACAAACTTTCATTAAGCATTTTTTCTGTGCCAGAAACTATTCTAAGCACATGGAGCTCCCGTTTTCCTGGCGAAGATGGCGGTCAGCTTGTGAATAGCTGTTGTGGTTTCCGGTGGGGATGAGTGCAGTGCAGGAGGATGAAGTGGGGTGCTGGGGTGGAGAGCGATCGGGGGTGGGGCATGGCTTAAGGTGGGATGGGCTGGAAAGGCCTCTGTGGGAAGGGGACGCCCGAGGCCCCCCGTAACATGGAAGGGCTCAGTGTGTGAGGTCTGGGGGAACAGCCTTCTGGGTGGAGAGGCCAGCAGGTGCAGGGTTTCTGAAGCCCATGGCCTTGGTAGGACTGGGCAGAAGCCAGAGGCCAGTGTTGAAGAATGGAAGGACGGAGGGGAGGGGTAGGAGCACGGGGCCTTGTTGGCGTGGTATGAAATTTGTATCTTACTCTGTAAAGCAGGGGTGGGGAACATCTGGTCCCATGGGCCAAATAAGGCCTAGTCTGGTCCTGCCAAGGCGACCCACCGCAGATGGGACTTGGAATTCAGTAAATCTATAGCAGGTTGTAAGTTTTAAGTTGGTTGTATGGTGTGGCCCGTGAATGATCTTGTAAATATCCAAATGGCCTTTGGTGGGGAAGGTTCCCCGCCTGCTGTGAAGTGAAGCTGTTGGAGGATTTCGGTTAGGAACGTGTTGTTATTTGCTTCTGTTCTAAAAGATCACCCTCACTCTGCCGGGAGGGGTGGGGGGGAGCCGCCCGGCCCTGTAAGAGCTTGCTGCAGTGGCCTGGGCTGGGGTTGACAGGAGGTGCTGGAGCTGGCAGAGGAGGTGAGGAGAAATGGAAGATGTCTCATGTAGTTTCAAGATAAGACAGAGACTTGCTGATGCGTTGTTGTGTACAAGGAGAGGGACAAGGATGACCCCAATGTTTTGTTTCAAGCTGAAGGGTGAAGATGCCGTTGGTACCAGGTACTGAGCTGGGAAAGACCCCGTGGGGTGGGAGAGTAGGGAGTTCAGGCCGGTATTTTGGCCGTGTCAGGTCTGAGTTCCCGGGTTAGCAGGTGCATCCAAGAGGGGGCACTGGTGAGGGAGCACAGTCCTGGCTGGGCAAGAGAGGACAGGGTACAGATGGCAGGGGCGGTGCAGGAGAGGTTTGGTCACTGTGACGGGAAAGGCAGTGCAGTGTGAGCCAAAATGGAGGTGGACTGCTACACGCATCCCGGGAAGAAGAGCGAATTCTCTTACTGCTCCTAGTTGTTCAGTGATGTCCATGATGAGAGCAGGAGGGGCGGGAGGGAGGAGCAGAGCGTTAGAGGTCAGGGGCTGCAGACCGAGTGGGGTTGTCGCCTTGGCTACTAAGATAACTGTCTCGAGGGAGACGTGGCTGCTTGCGGAGCTGTTGGTGTCAGTACAGATTTGTGGTCGAAGGTTTCAAGTGAAGGTGCGCGTGTTGTCCGGCTGTGGTCGAGGGGGCAGAGGCTGCCAGTGGTGCAGGCAGGCTTAATAGGGCTGTGCTTCGGCCAGATGAGTGCAGGGAGGAACAGAGGGTGAAGGGAACAAGGGTGTGTGTGCCAGGAAGGGGCTCAAACGTGGTCCTGGGCCTTAGGGGATGTGCAGCTATGACAGTGAAAAGCTGCTTGATCTTTTTGGGAGACGTTTGGCAATGCCTGTTGACTTTTAAAATCCACACACCTGCTGTCCTAACCTGGACACTTATTTTCTAGATACAGCCCTCCGTGTATGCAAATTAGATGTGCATGGATGTCCATCATTGCCCTTTGTGCCTACAGTGGTTTATTAGGAGCAGGCACTTCCATGTACAGGTGGCACCATGGTCAGATCACACCCGCTGTGCTCCACAAGCTTGGGCAGCAACGCCTCTCTTGGCCTTGGCTCTGCAAACTCTGGGAGCCATGGCCAGACCAGGGTTCCTGTCCGTTCCATGCGTCCCATGCTGGGTGCTACCATGTGCTTTTTCTAAAAAATGACTTATTCGAAAGACAGAGTTATAGAGAGAGGGAAAGACAGAGAGAGAGAGAGAGAGAGAGAGGGAGAGATTGTCCATCTGCTGGTTCACTCCCCAAATGGCTGCAGTGGCCGAAGCCAGGAACCTCTTCTATGTCTCCCATGTAGGTGCAGAGTCCCAAGGACTTGAGCCATCTTGCACTGCTTTCCCAGGTGTATCAGCAGAGACCTGGATCAGAAGTGGAACAGCCTGGACTCAAGCTGGTGTCCAGATGGATTGCTGGCGCTGCAGGCAGAGGTTTAACCTATCACAACACATCGCTGGCTTCCCCACAACCCTGGCCTGCTTTTGTAAATAAGTTTTTTTTTTTTTTTTAAGGTTTATTTATTTGTTTGAAAGGCAGAGTTAGAGACAGAGAGAGAGAGAGAGAGAGAAAGGTCTTCTATCTGCTGGTTTACTCCCCAGATGGCTGCAACTGCCGGAGCTGTGCTGATCTGAAACCAGGAGCCAGGAGCTTCTTGCAGGTCTCCCACGTGGGTGCAGGGGCCCAAAGACTTGAGGCATTTTCTACTGCTTTCCCAGGCCATAGCAGAGAGCTGGATCAAAAGTGGAGCAGCCGAGATTTAAACCAGCGACCATATGGAATGCCGGCACTGCAGGCAGTGGCTTTACCTGCTACGCCACAGTGCCGGCCCCTGTAAATAGGTTTTATAATGATAGATATTCTTTGCTGATGGGTTTCCATGTCTTCTTTGGCATTATGGTGGTTATGCCACAATGCCGACCCCTATTGTGCGCTTTTTAACTCTTACTGGAGGGAGGGGTATAAAAACATTCTGCTTCATTTTCTATCCCTCATAGTGTTCATTTTATTGCAGTAAGAGACTTAGGAGTACGGTTGCCCTCAGGGTTTGGGTGTAACTATTTATTTATTTATTTATTTATTTTGACAGGCAGAGTGGACAGTGAGAGAGAGACAGAGAGAAAGGTCTTCCTTTTGCCGTTGGTTCACCCTCCAGTGGCCGCCGCGGCTGGCGCACCGTGCTGATCCGAAGGCAGGAGCCAGGTACTTTTCCTGGTCTCCCATGGGGTGCAGGGCCCAAGCACCTGGGCCATCCTCCACTGCACTCCCGGGCCACAGCAGAGAGCTGGCCTGGAAGAGGGGCAACCGGGACAGAATCCGGCGCCCCGACCGGGACTAGAACCTGGTGTGCCGGCGCCGCTAGGTGGAGGATTAGCCTAGTGAGCCGCGGCGCCGGCCTGGGTGTAACTTTTTTAAAAATTATTTGCTTACGTAGTGTGTGCAGTGGCGTCACAGCTTTATTTCAGTCTTTATTACGGTGAAAACGTGACTACATTTTAGGAACAGTTGCAGTGACCCTGGAGGAAAAACCGATTTCTCAAAGCTTCGTGTCATTCTAGGTTTTCCCTGTAGTAGCAAATAGGCTGCAGAATGCATCTGAGCGTCTTTTCTCTCAGAGGCTTTCTTCTAAGATACAGTCAGTTGCAAATATTCCGAATTTGTTTGATAGCTCTGGTGGTTAGAAATATTTGGAGATAGGGGCCAGTGTTGTGGCACAGCAGGTTAAGCCTCCACCTGCAATGCTGGCATCCCATATGGGTGCTGGTTCGAGACACGGCTGCTCCAGTTCTGATCCAGTTCCCTGCTAGTGCCCCTGGAAACCAGTGGAGGATGGCTCAAGTCTTTGGGCCCCTGCACACACGTGGGAAACCTGGAAGAATCTCCTGGCTCCTGGTTTTGGCCTGGCCCAGCCCTAACCATTGTGGGAGTAAACTGGTGGATGGAACATCTCTCTCTGTCTCTTTAAGAATATTAAAAAAAAAAAAAGATTTATTTATGAATTTTGAACGTGAGATTCCCCTGGGGCATTGCGCACAGGTGTGCGGTTGCCCTGGGTTGGTGGGCAGTTCCATGGTGACAGTGAGGCTCTGTGAGCAGACAGTGTGTGAGTTCCAGGGCTTGATGCTGGGACTTTACACATTGGGAGTGCTTGGGCTCAGACTGGGTGGGGGTGGTGGCATTTGTGCGGAAGGAGGGAGAGGTCTGCAAGTGAACTCATTCCTAGGTTTGCAAGCTGCAGGGTGTGCACTTTGAAAGAGGGAGATGCCTGTTGGAAATGCGTGTGCAGGTATCCCATCAAGGTGCATTTGGTCACACGTTGTCATGTCTGGGGGTCAATGGGAAGCTTAGAAAATCAAGACGTTTGAGCTTTAGAAGGAGGTGCGGAAGACGAGGCTGTGGAGCCCAGGAAACAGCTGCTCCGGATGCCAGCAGGTGGAGCCCTCCAAGGCAGGAGCCCAGAACGGCCCAGCAGCAACGCAGCCCCCCTGGGAGAACTGTCTCCGTCCCTTCACTGCCGGGTACCTGGGGCTGTCGTCCCTGCTCAGTGTGGAAACCAGGAGCAGGCGTGTGACGTGGGGCCTGAAGGTTCTAGGTGATAGAAGGAGTTTCTCACTGGTGATGGGGGCTGCATCCTCAAGAAAGGGACCGCGCTGCCATCCCTGCGTTCCCGGAGGAGGCGCTCCCGTGCCTTGCCCAGCAGAGCACCCAGTCGTGTTGCCCTGGATCATGCCCACAGCTGGTGCTCAGCTGGCTTATTCATTTATTTGTTTCAAGATTTATTTATTTATTTGAAAGGCAGAGTTAGAGGGAGACACAGAAAAAATCTTCCATTCTGTGGTTCATTTCCAAATGGCTGCAAGGGCCAGAGTTGGGCCAGGCCGAAGCTGGGAACTCAGAACTCCATCTGAGTCTCCCCAGTGGGTGCAGGGACCCAACTACTTGGACTATTCTGTGCTGCTTTCCCAGGCGCGTTAGCAGGGAGCTGGGTCAGAAGTTGTGTAGCTGGGACTCAAAGCAGTGTTTGTGTGGGATGCTGGTGTTGCAGGGGATGGCCTAACCTGCTGCACCACAAAATCAGCCCCACTCAGCTGGTTTTGACTTTCAAAAAACGGCACCTTCTGGGACTGACATGGTGGCATAACGGATTAAGCCACTGCCTGCAATGCTGGCATCCCACATGGGTTCCGGTTAAACCCCTGGGTGCTCATTCCAGGTCCTTGCTCATGTGCCTGGGAAGTCTGTGGAAGATAGCCCAAGTCCTTGGGCCCTTGTACCCATGTGGGAGCAGCAGATTAAGATCCTGGCTCCCGGCTCCTGCACTTGCAGCCATTCAGTGAGTGAACGAGTGAGTGGAAGATCTCTCTCTCTCTACCTTTCCCTGTCTCTCTCTCTAACTCTGCCTTTCAAATAAATAAAATAGATCTTTGGAAAAAAACGGCACCTTCATGTAGTCAGTCTAGTGTCTTGTCAAAGTTTAGGAACTTTTGCTTGGCAAAGTCCAAGCTCATTCGTTCTCTGCTGTGTCCATCTCATTCACATTTTGGTTGTTGTGACTGCTGCTGCTGGAAGCCCTCTGGAGCTGGAATGGGCATGGAGGAGGGGCAGTTCCATGCATCTGGCCTCCGTAGCACCATGTGTGACTTGGGGGTTTGCGGAATGCTTCTCTTGGTGTGCCCGGAGAGACTGCTGCTGCAGAACAGTTGAAAGTTAACCGATACGGACGGACTTTACAAAAATGTTTGGTTGAGGAGTCTGACTTTGGGCTTCTGGTTGACATTGGAAGCACTTACTGGAGTCAGAGGCGTGGTGACATAGGAAGAGGAGAGCTGTTGGCCAGAGTCTCTAGGGTCCTTTGCAAGGGCAGTGGTGGCCGTCGCAGCAGCTGTCATTGCAGATGGTTAGTCGAGCTTTGTTTTTTTTTTTTTTGGTTGTGCATAACATAGTTATGTATCAGTAATGCATCTGTTGAAAGATTAAATATTTTATAAAATATTTAAATTGTTTTAAAAATGTTTGGGGGCTGGTGCTGTGGTGTAATAGGTAAAGCTGCCGCCTGTAGTGCTGGCATCCCATGTGGGTGCCGGTTCTAGTCCTGGCTGCTCTGCTTCTGATCCAGCGCTCTGCTATGGTCTGGAAAAGCAGTGGAGGATGGCCCAAGTCCTTGGGCCCCTGGACCCGCATTGGAGACCTGGAGGAAGTGTCTGTCTCCTGGCTTCAGATCGGCACAGCTCCAGCTATTGTAGCCAATTGGGAAGTAAACTAGCGGATGGAAGACCCCCCACCCCCCCCCGCCTCTCCTTCTCTCTCTGTGTAACTCTGGCTTTCAAATCAATCAATCAATCTTTAAACAAATGTTTGTCAGTTTCTTTTTGCATTTTATTATTTTTATTTATTTGAAGGGGTTATAGGGAGAGAGAGCGAGTGAGTGAGCTTCTGTCTGCTGGTTCACTTTCCAGATGGCCTTAATGGTGGAGGCTGGGACAGGTTGAAGCCAAGAGCTTCTTCTGGGTGTCTCACATGGGTGGCAGGGACCCAAGTGCTTGGTTCATCTGCCTCTGCTTTTCCCAGGCCATTAGCAGAGAGCTGGATCAGAAGTGGAGCAGCTGGGGTTTGAACTGGTGTCCATATGGGATGCCGGTGTCATAGGCGCTGGCTTTTCCTGCTGTGCTACAATGCTGCCGCATTTATTTATTTTTTTGGGAAGAAGAAAGAGACAGATAGACAGACAGAGGGAAAACTCCCATCTGTTAGTCCACTCCCCAAATGCCTCCCTGAAGCCAGTTTAGGTCTTTTAGTTTAGGTCTTTGCCATCTGTGGTAGGAACTCAAGCACTCATGCCATCACTGCTGCCTCCCAGGGTGCACATTAGCAGGACGCTGGAATCAGAAGCAGATCTGGGACTTGAACCCAGCACACTGTTATGGGATGCAGGCATTCCAAGCCATTTTTTTAAAAAATGTGTAAGGTTTAGGTATTTATTTGAAAGGTGGAGTTGCAGAGAGAAGGGGAGAGAGAGAGAGAGATCTTCCATCCATGGATTTCCTTCCCAAATGGCTGCAGCAGCCTAGGCTGGGGCAGGCTGAAACCAGGGTCCTGGAGCTCCATTTGGGTCTCTTACGTGGGCGGCAGGAGCCCAAGTACTGGAAGCATCTTCTGCTGCCTCCTCTGGGGCATGACTAGGGAGCTGAATCAGACCCCGAGCAGCTGGGACTTGAGCTGGCACTCAACAGGGATGCCCGCGTCACAGGCAGCGGCTTAACTTGCTTTGCCATGACCCTGGCCCTGCCAAAGCACATTCCTAACCCTAACCGCCAAGCCAGGCGCCCACCCCCATCTGAGCTGTTCTCAAAGAAGCCATTTTGCCTGCTGAGGTGGGAAGCACCCCCAGAGAGGATGTTCCTAATGGTGGGCATTGTATAGGTCAGAAAGTGTCGTTTTGCCTCTGAAGGATAGACTTAGTTTGTGGGTCTGGGGCCAGGTGCAGAG